CAGGTGTCTTTGGGAGCTATGGATGGGAAAGTATAGGGAGTATACCAGACAGGTAGGGAGATGACAGAGGTATGGATCTTTGGAGTCTGACAGGAGGAAGAGTCCTTGGGCCAGCCAAGGACAAAACTCCTTGGGCTGGGCAAGGCACCCCTCTCCCTCTGTCTTGATGAGAGAATGCTCTGCAACAAGGGAAAGCTTTCTCACAAGACAGGAACTTACTAAGGAATTGGGAGGCTTCCAGAGACATGATCTGAGGGCTGGGGCCTGAGCAGCCCAGCACTCTCTCACCCCACTTTGTGTAGCTGCACCAGGGAGAGGGATAAGGGTCGTGCTGGGGCCCATGCATGAGTAATTGCTAAGCACATTGTCTTTGGGCTGGGGAGTGGTTGTCAGAGGCGGTGTTTCTGAGGTTAGGGAGAAATTGGGGTCCAAGTACAAGCACAAGCACCCAAGCACCCCATCAGTATCTATCGCCATGGTAGATGCTGTGGGGGCAGGTTCAGGAATTGGTGACACCAGGGTAGCATAGTATAAGGTAAGGCACACAAGACAACAGATTCTTCACTGGATCCACAACCTCATTGCTGTGTGTATTCCTCCCATCTGCACTGGGAACCCGTCCACACCTCTCTGTGTGTGATTCTTGCTCAGATTTCTTCCAGTTTACTTCTGTCTCCACCACTTCCCTAGAGGCCTCTTTCTAAGATGTCCTACATGTTGCAGGGGCAGCCCTAGAGGTCAATGCCATGCTTTCCTCTCAGAGACCAGGTAGCTCTGGCCCCAGAACCTGTAGACTCAGATTCTAACTTCATGACAAAAGGACCACATGTAAGGGAATAATGAATGAGGGGATTCCCTTAATCTTGTCCATCCAGTTTCTTTGCATATGAACTGAAACTGCCCTTTCCAAAGTTCCTGATGATCTTTTAATTGACAAATCTAGCGTTTTTTTTCCCCCTCACGTCTCATTGTTTTTTACCTCTCTTTAGCATTTATCACTCTGGACCACCCTTTCCTTCTAAATATGCTCTCCCCTCTTAAATTTTCATGATTCTCTCTTGGCTTTCCTCCTACCTGTCTGACCACTCCTTCGGTATGCCTTCATCTGTGCCCCACGCACCTGTAGAGGTGTACCCCCAGGTTCTGTCCTGAGTCTTCAATCTTCACACTCTCTCCCTGTGATATCCTTAGCCCCAACAGCCCCAATCCTTAGTCCATAGCTATGCACGTGAATCCCAGATTGATACATCCAACCCTTGGATCTTTTCTCAGCTGCACCACCAATTACCTGTTAGTCACCTCCAACTGGATGTCCTTTAGAATTCACACACTTAGCAATGTTCAAAACGGACCACACTATCTTCCCGTCTAAATCCCCTGCTGTTTCTGTACAGGGCACCATCATCTTCCAGTCGACCAGGTTTGCAACTTCATTATCATCCCTGACTCCTGACTCCCTCACCCCACATATCTAGCCAGCTGTCAGATCTTGTATCTACCTCCACAGCATCTCTTGCCTCCCTTCCTCTCTCTGCTCACACAGCCATCACCCTAGTTCAGGCCCTTTGTGATCTCTAGTTTGTACTATTACAATAGCCTTCTCATTGGTCTTGGCCTCAAGCCTTTACCCAGGGGTGGTGAATCTGTGGCCTTCTAGGTCCTCCACTGTGGCCTTTTGACTGAATCCAAGTTTTGCAGAACAAATCCTTCTATTAAAGGGAGACAAACATGTCTCCTCTGGCTAGACTTTGCTCCTGAAGCATGGATCCCCAGGACCTAACACGCTACCTGGCACATGGAATAAATACTTGTTGACTGAGGAACACTGAGGAACTGAAGATGTCCCTCATGTTGTAAACCTGGAAAGACAGCAGCATTCTCAATGCAAATAAGGAAGCTGAACAGAGGGATGGGTCCTGTGTTGGATATGCTGTGTTTGACCTGTCTGGGACACCCAGTCTGAAGCATCCAAGAGGCAATCTCAAGATTGCAGCTCAGGACGGGGTCGAGGGCCAGACCTCTAGATCCAATTGTACCCTGGGAAGCTGTCCACATCACCAAAGGGGAGACAGAGGGAGAAGAGGGTCCAGGTTGGGACAGGACAGGGATAATGATGATGACCCTGCAAAGAAGACGGATGAGCGGTGGGAAAGAAAATGCAGTTTCACAAGCACACAAAGAGGAGAGAGAATCCAAGAGGAGATACAGGGGTCGACAGATCAAGGATGAGGACTGAGAAAAGGCCACTGGATTTAGCAATTAGGAGATCATTTGAACTGAGCAATTCAAGAGGAGTGATGAAATCAGATGCCAGAGTGCAAAAAGAGTTTTTAAAAAAAGTGTAAACAGGCTTTTTCTAGGAGTTTGGCTGGGGAAAAAAGTTGTCACTGGATGACAACTTCGGAGCATGGGAGGGGTTTTTAAGGCTGGAGGAGAACTGGGCATTGTTCTAAGGCAACACAGAAAGAGCCCCTTGGTAGAGAATGACTAGAGAGCCATCTCCAGCCCCTAGGGACCAGGTAGGCGTTTAATAAATGTTTAATTTTCATTGAAAAAGATCTGGGAGTCGGTTAACTCTGGCTTCTAAATGTTGGTGTGTGGAAGTCAGGTAAGGCCTCGGCCTCAGTTTTTCCATCTGTAAAATGGTAAGAAGGCAGGCTGGCTCTGACTGCGCATGAGCGTGGCACGTGAGCAGAGGATCCGTTGAGAGGCGTGAAAGCGCCCTCTATAGGCGCGCGCCCCAGAACTGGCCTCGCAGCGCCTCCCAGCGGCAACCGACGTAACCGCAGGACCTCGCAGTATCGGTCCCCTCCCCCCCAAGCACGAAAGAGACATGAGAAAAGAGGAGGGAGGAGAGGGGGGAGGCGGGTCTTCCGGCCGCGGCTCCGCCCACAACGGCTGGGGCTGTAACGGTGGCCGCGTCCTCTTTCGCTCGGCTCCGGCCCACGCTCTCCGCTCCGCTGTGGTCTGTCCCGCGACTAGTTTTGTGGCGGCGGATGAGCCTCCCGAAAAGCTGCGGAACTTGGTAAGCCACTCTAGGCCTGGGTCGAGGAGCCTGTGGTCCAAGAGGGGCTGGAGCCGGGCGTGCCACGGGCCACGGGGAGGGAGGCCCCCGCTGGTCCTGAAGAGCTGGAGGGGGGACACGAGGTGGGGGGGTGTTGCCGTTGCCGGAGAGCGGCTAGGGGCGGAGCCTGCGGGAGCGCGCCTGGGGGCCCGAGGGGAGGGGGGTTGGGGGAAGGGTGGGGCTTGCGGGAGCGCGCCTGGGGCCTGATAGGAGTGTAGTCTGGGGGCGGGGCAGGGTTTGTGGGAGCGCGCCTGGAGCCTGAGAAGCGGGAGCGGGGCTTGCAAAAGCACATCTGCAGCCTGATAGGAAAGGGGTGAGGTTTGAGGGAGCGTGTCTGGAGCCTGATAGGAGAGGAGGCTGGGGGCGGGACTTGAGGGAGCGTGCTTGAAGCCTGATAGGAGAGCGATGGGGCGGCGGGGCTTGCAAGAGCACGTCTAGAGCTTGATAGGAGAGGGGTGGGGTTTGAGGTAGCGTGCCTGGAGCGTGATAGGAGAGGAGTCTGGGGGCGGGACTTAAGGGAGCGTGCCTGGGCTCTGATAGGAGATGGGTGGGGCTTGAGGGGGCGTGTCTAGGAGTTGATAGGAGCGGAGTCTGGGGCGGGGTTTGAGGGAGTGCTCCTGGGGCCTAATAGGAGAGGAATGAGGGGGGCGGGATTTGCAGCAGCGTGCGAGGCGCGGATCGGGTTGGGGGAAGGGAGAAAACAGGAAGAGAGAGAACAGAGAGGGTGGGGGGAGGTCCGAGGTGTGAAGGGAGGCCTGCTGATGTGCTGCCAAGGTCCTGGAGCTTTAAAGTTTGCCGACCTCTAGGTATACATTGCCTCGTTTGTTCCTCACCGTAACGCAGTCAAGTAGGTGCTGTTATTATCCTAGTTTTATGGATGAGAAAATTGAGGCTTGGAGAGTTTAAGGGACTTACCCAAAGTCCCACAGCTGATAAATGCTGAGGCAGAATTGGAACTGAGACCTTCACCCAAGTCCCACTCTCTCCTCTGTGAGGGGCTGCGTGCCCTGACTACTCCACGGGGTTGTTGTGAATCTCAAATTACGTAATGTATGTCATGTGCTTTGAAAACTTTACAGGGTTTTATGGATGTGAGTTACTGTTGAGGCTTGCACAATGCTTTCCTCGGTCACTTTGTGAAGTAGGTAGTAAGAGGGTTTATATGATTTTTTGGTTTTGTTTTTGGGAGAAAAACATACTTTGAAATTTTGAAGGGGTTTGGCTAGGGTCATATGCAGGGCCTGAATTCAAACCCAGGCCACCCTATTCCCAATCCAGCCTTCTTTCCATTACTTCACATTAGCTCATAGATTCTGTGTGACTTTGGACAAGTCAGTGAGGCAGTGTCATCCAGTAGAAAAAGCAACAGATTTTGAGTCAGAGAACTTGGGTTTCAATCCCAGCTCTTCCACGTTTGACTTACGCAAGTCATTTTATCTCTCTGGACTTCAGTTTCCTCATTTGTAGAAATGAGGAGGATTAAATTTGATGCCGTGAGACCATTTCCAGCTCTAAATCTTTGATCCTGTAAGTGACTTTTCCCTCAACCCTGGTTTCTTCATCTGTAAAATAAGCGGACCAGGTGATTTCTTAGGTCCCTTTCAGTTCTGATGTCTGTCTCCAATGCTATCTAGTCTATGACTCAGCATTTCAGATCAGAGGAGGCCCTTGGAGAACTGGTCAGTTTGGCATAGTGTCTCAGTCTTTAGAGAGGGTGCTTCATGTTAGCAAAGACTTTGTTTCCTTTATTGGACAAGGAACTCTTCTGAGGCAGAGGTCTAATGTCACGGAACATTAGAATGGATCTCAGAATGTGGAATTATAGAATGTTAGAACTGGAGGGGATTTTTACATCATCTCACTCATCCCCCTTATTTACAGGTGATACTGGTCCAGAGAGGGAAAGGTGATTGGCCAAGGTGAAAATGAGTCAATGGAAGAGTCGGAACCAGAGACAGATCCACTGCTGTACAATCTCAGACTCTTTCATTTGTCAGGCTGATTTCCCAAGCTCTGGTTATTCTTTTCTTCCGACTCTAGCTTGGATGTTCAGTCTTTTAGAGGTTCAGAGCTCTTCACTGATGGGAAGGCTGAACAGAAATCCAGCAGTGCCTCTTCTCTAGCAGGAGGGGAGTGGTAGAGCTAGGGAACAGGCCATCTACAGAATGATGGGCCCTGAACTTTGTTCATAACCTCTATGTGGGTCATTTGTCCTAGAGAAGAAAAAGTTGATGTCAGGAGAAAGATATGGAAAATTTTCTTTTTGTTTTCTCTTCTCTTTGTGAGAAGATAGAATGAACTGAAAGCAGTATGGTATAGTGAGAAGAATAGCAGCTTCAGAGATACTGGAGCTAGGCTTAGGTTTGCATTCTGACTGATAATTCCTAGGTGCAGAGCCTTGGACAAGTCAGTCAATCAGCAGGAGCAATTAAGCCCTTATTTGTGCCATGCCCTGGGGATGAAAGCACAAAGAATGAAACAGTCCCTAATGGCAAAGAACTTGCATTCTACTGTCATCTAACCCTCTCTGAGCCTCAGTTTCTTCCTGTAAAATTAGGCTAATAATCCTCACAGTACCTAACTCATGGGGCTCTTGTTGGTAAAGCACTGTAGAAATGTGAGATGGTGATGATGATGATGATGATGATGATGACGATGATTCATGGTTGATGAACCTGCTGCCTGGGAGAAAGGAGATGGTTTATTTGGATAAAAGTATAGATGGCGTGCTTATCAGATGTGCTGGTTATATAAAACTAGGAGTGATAGTTAACATACTGCATGATGAGATCCAAAAATATCTTGACCAGTGAGAACACCGGGCTAATTCCGATAAGATGAAATTTAATAAGGATAAGTGGTAGTGTCTTACCCTCAAGTTCAGAAATCACAAGTTTAAGGTGTGAGGCATATGGTTAAGCGGCAGTTTGTCTGAAAAAAGATCCAGAGGTTTTGGTAGACTGAAAGCTCAGCAGGAGTCCACAGTGTGACAAGGTAGCCTAAAAAAGCAAAGATAATTTTCAGCTGCGTGGAGAGGCATAGCTTCCCTGGAGAAAGAGGTGATTCTTGTGCCATACTGTGCTCTGGGCAGATCGCACACATTAAGAGCACCACATTTACAAAGCCAGTGGAGGGCAGCCGGGATAGTAAAGGACCTTCAGTGCACAGCATAGGAAGGTCAGCTGAAGGAACCTGGGACACTGAGACTGGAGAAGAGCAGGCTCAGGGGAGCCCTGACAGCTCTCCTCAGGAATTTGTAGGACCATCGTGTGGAAGAGACACTAGCCTAGTTCTAGAGGGCCTAGAGGCAGAACTGGGAGCGCTGGCCAGGAAGGCAGACGGGCAAATTTGAACTTGATTTAGGGAAACACTGACAATTAGGTATCTGAGAGTAGACGGAACTATTAGGAGAGGTCTTTATGCAGAAACTGGATAAGCTCTTGTTGGGTATTTTGTTTGAGGGCTTCTTTTTGGATATGGGTTAGACTAGGGGACCTGATGTCCCTTCCAACTCTGAGATTCTGTGAGCCTTCCCATCTCACAGTTAGGAAAACTGTGGTCCACAGAGTGCAGATGATAGACTACAGTCCTTTGGCTTCTTTGACTCCCAAGATTAAGCATCTCCTGTGTGCAGAGCTCTCTTCTGGCCTGATAGGGAGGACCATAAAGAATAGATTGATCCCCTCCCCTTAGAGATTTTCAGTGGGAGAAAAGAAGCAGATGGGCTTATACTTTATATACAAGGAACAGAATTGAGTCTGAGAATTTTCTGGCTCTCTCTTCCCAGGGGTACTTGGGTGACTGACTTCACAGACTGTTCCTAAAGATGTTTGGCTCTTCACGTGGGGGTGTTCGAGGTGGACAAGACCAGTTCAACTGGGAAGATGTGAAGACAGATAAACAAAGGGAGAACTACCTGGGTAAGTCAAGTGGTCAAAAACATTGGGCCTTGTCAATGGGCTGAGTGTAGCAGGGACTTTAGAAGAAGCAAAGCTGACCACTGCTTTTTGGGAAACCTCCTGGTGGGGGTGGGGGCAAGGGGATGGAATGTACACAGAATGGTGTCATACATGAAAGAGATGAAAAACAAATGCTCTTGTAGCTTACAGTGTGTTTATGAGTGAGTGAAAAAAGCATCAATTAAGTGCTTACAATGTGCAAAGCTGAGGATTCATGTAAGAGAATCAGAGCTGGGCTGTGCTCCCAAGCAGCTCGTATTTAATAGGGAAAGACAACATGTGCAGATAGGTTTCAGTCTGCATATTCCTGTGGAGATGGTAATGCATCTTCTTTAGTATTATTTCTCATACTGAAAACTCTGCTGGTTCCTGATGTTGACCATTTGACAATGCCAAAGAATTTGGTGGTGAGAACTGTGCTGGGTCCTCGCTAGTAGGTCTTCTGGAGCAGACAGGGCCTGCAGCGCGTGTAGGAGGATCGCTGCCGTTACCTGTGGCTGGGGGCTGAGGGCGGAAGGAGGTGATCTGGGAGGTGCTAGTCTGCAGGAGCACTCAGAGTTACCAGTGGTAGATGGGGCTGGTGGTGTCGGGGGTGTGGAGACCGTGTACTTCTACAAAAGGATTGCTCTCTTTGATGATGCTCGCAGGGGCTGAAGCAGGGTCAGGGGTCTGGCACTGCCTCTGAGCAGGGACTGAGGGGTGATGGAGGTCAAGGTGGGAGTGGTTTGACTTGCCTGGCCCATGCAGCCTCCTGTCTTTCCTCCAGGGTTCTTTGCTCCTTCAGTTGGGATGGCTTGCCTGTTCTATACAACTGCAGGGGCCAACCAATCCTTCTCCCTGCCTCCATTCTCTCCCCACTCCAGCCCATCCTCCACTCAATCGCCAAAGGAATCTTCCTGAAGTATGTGACTGCCTCTATCACCCCTGCTGCACAGTGAGCTCCAGTGATTCCCTTTTACTTCCAGGATCAAACTGAGGACCCTGTTTGGCACTTAAAGCTCCTCATAACCTGTCCCTTTTCTACTTAGAGAAGTTGCTTTATTTCTCTCTGTGCCTCAGTTTCTTCATGTGTCCTGGGGATGATCAAACTCATGTGACATCAGCAGATGATATGAGTTAGTGCCATGTTCTGCAAAGCGTGTCCTTTTTGGAAATAATCTTCTTAAGCTCTTTAACAGCTATTCCCAAAGAGAGGGCTCACACATTTTTTTAATTCCCAGAAGGAGAGTGATGTCCAGGCTGCTGAGAAGAGGCTTCCTCAGTGCATAGCACAAAAGGAGATCTAGAAGTTCTTAAAGGGGACTTGAGATGATTTCCTAAGCTCTAGATTCAGGACCTTGGGCTTTTCTTGAAGAAGAGGCTTGGGGACCATTCCCCTGCTGTCATCTCTGGAGGCCTAAGGGGGAGCCTGGGCTGAGAAGAGAGCTTAGTTTTAGAGGAATAGCTAAAGTGAGGGCCGTGGGCTGGGGGTGTGGGGGGCAGTCTAGCACCTGTGAAGGGGGACGGACTTTGCTTCCCCCAGCCACTGCTCCACTGGAGACAGGTCCCTGGGCTGGAGTGACTGGGACTCTTCCAGCATGTTTTTACTGATTATTTCCTCTTTGCTTAGCCTCCAGGAAGGCATCATGGTGGGGTAGAGGAATCTGGGCCTGAACCTGCCCTCAGGGAACTCCCTGTCTGCATGCAATATTAACTGTCAGCGCTCCCTTTAGGGGGTGTAGCGGAGAGGCATTAGGAGCCAGGTCTCAGGTGATACAGGCAGATGCTTAGCTCTGCCTAATCTGACCCTGGAGGTGCAGCCCCTGCACAGCGAGGTCTGTTCAGGATTTAGGGGCATCGCAGCGGTGCTGGTGAAAACACCCATGGGCAGAAGAGAGGGCCCAGATTGTATCCCTTGACAGGCCTCTGAGTTAGGAAGGCTTGGGTTCAAGGCCTGCTTCTGACATGTGCTAAGGGGCCTCAGGCCCTCTTGCCTGGTCTTTCTCTTTTCTCTCTCTGCTGTTTCCCTTGGTGATCTCATCAGCAACCCTGGATTCAGTTGTCAGCTGTAGCAGATGACTCTCAGATATACTTGTCCAGCCCTAACCTTTCTTCAGAACTCCAGCCTCACCTTTCCAACTAGCTTTTAGACATTGCAAACTGGTTGTCTCATAGACATCTTGAACCCAACGTGTCTATTACTGAACTCATTATCTTTTCCCCACAAACCTCCCCTCTTCCTGACTTTCCTATTACTGTCAAGGGCACCCCTATCCAGTCACCTAGGTTGGCAGCCTGGGTCATCCTTAATTCTTCATCACCTAATCCTCCCTCACCCCCTAAATCCAATCAGTGGTCATGTCTTGTTACTTTTACCTTCGTAGCATCTCTTTTATATGCCCCCTTCTCTCTTCTGACATTGCCACCACCCTAGTGCAGGCCCTTATCATTCAACGTGCCTGGACTCTTGTAATGCACTAGCTACTGTGGGTCTGCCTGCCTCGAGTCTCTTGCCGCTCCAATCCATCCTCCATTCAGCTGCTAGAGTGATTTTCCAAAAACTCAGGCCTGGCCTTGTCATATCTCCCCTCCACCAGCCTTCAGGAAACCCCAGGATAATCCTGTTACCTACAGGATCAAATAGAAAGTTCTGTCTTGGGTACCTTTCCACTCTTCTTTCACTTTGCTCCCTTCCAGTTCCTCTGTGATCCAGTGACCCTGGCCTTGAACACTGCTCTCTGTCTCCTGACTCCAGGCGTTTGCACTGGGTCCCTCCTGCCTGGAATGCTCTCCTTCTGCATGTCTTCCTCCTGGCCATCCCCCCTTCTGTGAGAACCCTGTAGGGCCCCCCCCTTAATCCCAGAGCCTTGCATCTGAGGTTCCCTGGGCTTTATCTCACAAACATTTTGTTTGAATCTAGTTGTTTGCATGTGGTCTCTCCCATTAAGCGCTGAGTTCCTGGAGAGCAGGAGCTGGTTTTTGTCTTTCTTTGTGTGTCCAGTGCTTTGCACAGCAGCCAGCACTTAGTTGGTATTTAATAAATCAATGCTTGTTGACCCACTGACTTTGTGACCATGGACCAATCACCTGCCCTCTCCGTGCTCCAGGGAGCTTCCTAAGATCTTCATCTGCTGTGGCGCAGCAGAGAATCTTCATTGGCAGCCAATATTTCCTCACTGGAAGTTCCCTCCAGTAGTAAAATCACATGCTTGGTCCAAAATTGGAGGGACCTTGGGGAATTGTCTGGTTGGATCCCCCCATTCTATAAATGAAGAAACTGATCCTCAGTGAGGGGAAGACATCGGTGTAAGTGGCAGGGCTGTGACTCAAACCTAGTTCTTCTGGTTAATAATAATAATTACTTACATTCCTATAGCCTTAAATAGAGCATTTTTGTAATCTTATGAGGTGAAGTGGGTATTATTACCCTCATTTTACAGATGAAGAAACTGAAACTGAGAAAGATGAAGTGATTTGCTTTTGATGACAGGACTCAAACCCCCCCAGTCTTCTGACTCCAAAACAAGTGATCTTTCCCGGATACCATGTTGCCTCTGCTAAAGACAGTGATCCCCAGGAGCCGCAGACTGCTCACCACACATGTGCTGCTGTTGCACTTTGCCTGTTCTTCCCAGGCTGTAGCGTTCACACTCCCCTCCCAATGCTTCCACTTCAGGAGCCACAGTGTGCAATTTATGGGGAAGTTGCCTGGCCAGAGCCATCCTCCTAGCTTTTCTGTGCTGGCCACAGGTAGCTTCAGGACAAGAAATGCTGGTGCCCTCCTCAGAGACCCTGGCTATAGCTGCTGCCCTCCTCCCTGCCTGCTGTGTGCTTGCACATGGGAAGGAGGATGCACTTCACGGCATGATCACCAAGCGCTGCTTCCAGGATTGTGGCACGTGGCCACCTCTCACTGCCAAACCAGCCCTGAGTGTCTTGTAGCTTTGCCAGACACACAGGAGTTTAAAGCACTCTTAATAGAACAGAGATATTCTTAGGCTTTAGAGCTGGATGGGGCCTTAGAAATCCAGTCCAGTTTTCTTTTGCAGATTAAAAAGTTGGCCAAAAAAGACGCAGTGATTTGCCCCCAGGTTACAGACCCAACAAGGGGCAGAGCTGGATCTTGAACCCAGAGACAGTCTGGCTCAAAGCCAGCACCCTTTCCTCTGATGGCCAGTGAAGCTTCATGGCTTCTGGATGCTTTCCCAGATCACTTCTGCCTGTAATCATCATTGTTCACCTTATCACTCATTAGGCATTGGTCACAACCCTTGACTTTTCAGTTAATTTCTCAGGGGCCTGTTTCTTGTTCCCCCCAGCTAGTCTGAGGTCTTCCAGAGCAAGGATTGGGTCTGGGGCTTCTTTGTGTTTCTGGCTCCCTTCATGCTGTTGCCCTTTTTTTGGGGGGGGGAGGATAGTTGAATGAAATACAGGGTGTCTTGTGGGAGAAAAAGGATCAATCACTGAGGGAGGGGGAAATGGAGCAGGAGTTGGTGAGAGCTGCTCTCTTCCAGGATGGGAGAGCTGGCAGTTTTCCCATGAACTCAAAATAGGGCTGCTCTCTTCCCAGGGAACTCCCTGATGGCTCCTGTGGGCAGGTGGCAGAAGGGCCGTGACCTCACCTGGTATGCCAAAGGCAAGAAAGGCGACGTGACCCTGAGCCGAGAAGAGGAGCTAGCCGCTGTGCGCCAGGCTGAGCAAGAGGCCCTCCTGGCTGCTTTGTGAGTTCTGGGCCCCAGAGATTGGTGGGGGTTGTGTGTCCAGGGGGATGTGCGTGGGTGTGTGGAGAGTGGCGGCTACTCGCAAACTAGTCTGAAGAGGAGGGAGTTTTTCCTACCCTGAACCCAACCAGGGAGAGAAAAGAGAGAGCTCACTATAGCAGAAAGATCTTTGCCTTGGAAATCAGGAGATTTGAATTCTGCATTTCGAAGTGCATTCTAGCTGCTGTGTTCTACACTCTAACGTCCCTTTCAGTTCCAACATTATTCATGTTGTGTCCCTTCTCGTTCTGTCATTCTGTGGTTCTGTCAACATTAGCCAGAGTTGGGCTATTTTTAAGTTGTGTTGGGGAAAGAGGAGGGTCAAAGAAAGAGCAGCATCACTGGTGGAGGGAGTGGAAAGATAACAAACCAGAAGGCAGAGCCTCTCCATTTTTATTTTACTTCTTTTTTCTCTGCCAAGGACCCGCACGGCTCTTGGGCCGGAAAGGACAGAACGGTAGGAATTTGATTCTAGATATAAGTAAGGAGCTAATAAGAAAGCCCTTAGCTGTCCTTGATAAGTTCAAGTCACCTGGTCCAGGAGAGCTATATTCTGAGGTACTGAAAGAATTGGTAGATGGGGTTGCTGGGCCACCACCAGTGACGTGTGAAAGATCATAGAGAGCAGAATAGGCACCAGAGGACGAGAGCAGGGCAAGTGTCATGATCCTCCAAAAAGGGAGGAGGCCAGTTTGCAGAGTGTAAGCCACTGAGCTTAACTTTGGTTCCTGGGCAGACCCTAGAACTTATCTTTTAAGAGATGGTCAGTGACCACAAAGAAGAGAAAACCACAGTGTCATCAAAAACAGGTTATGCCAGAGTAACCTTATTTTCTTTTTAAACTGGTTAGGGGAATGGTCTAGGTAGCAAGTCACTTCAATATCATTTACTTATTACTAAAGCACTTGATAAAGGATTTCATACTGTGATTGTGAGGAAAATGGGGGTCTGGGCTAGACAGTAATAAAATTAGATAGGTTCCGATTTAGTTGAATGCCTGGAATCAGCCCTTACTGGCTTTATGGGAGTGTGGCAAGAGCTCTGCAGTGGAGGGCCCTCGGGATTTGTGTTGAGCCTCATTCTGTTTGACATTTGTGCCTGGGGCTTGCATAAAGACACGGAGGGCATGCCTGCCAGGTTTGCAGATGACACACCACCGAGAAGGTTCAGCTGGGTGACACCGAGGATCCAAAAAGACCTCCACAGGCTAGCGCAGTGGACTGATTTGAGTAAGATGAAATCCAATCAGGATAAATATAAAATCTTACAGTTGTAAAGTCATTTTTTTGATCTGAAGTACAGGATGGGGGAGACATGGTTAGAAGCTTATCTGAAAAAGCTCTGGGGGGCTCACTGGACTTCAAGCTCCATTGTTATGTCAGTAGCATGAAGTGACAGCCAGAACACTAGTGTGACGATCCTGGACTCTGTTAAGAGCGGCAGAGCTCCTAGGAATGAGAAGGTGGAAGGCCCGCTGGCCTCTGTGCTGGCCAGGCTGTCGCTGGGTAGTGGGTTTGGCTTGGGACACCACAACTTAGGAAGGACAGTAAAAAGCTGGAAAGTGTCCAGAAGAGGGCACCTGGGATTGTGAAGTGTCTAGACTCCCTGCCACATGAGGATAACTGGAAGGAACTGGGTAAAGAGAACAGCTAGAAGGAAGGTGGCAGATGTCTTTAAGTCTTTGAAGGCTTGCCATAGGGAAGAGAGATTAGACTTGTTTTGGGTCCTCCTAGTTCTGCCTTCTTGTGCCAGTGTGTGCAAGCTGAAAGGAAAGGCAGATTTAGGCTTGATGTCAGGAGAGACTTGCTAAGAATGAGAGCTCCCCAGAAGAGGCCTGACCTGCCTGGGAGGTGGTGGCTGCAGGACCACTTACTGAAAGGGGGATCCTTTCTTGATTAGGGGCTAGATTAAACGGCTGCCAAGGTCCTTGCAACACTTGAGTTCCGTGATTCTTTTTCTTGATTTTCTCATCCTGATTCCTTCCAGAGGCTATAAGAGTGTGAGGAAGCAGCCCACAGGACTGAGCAAAGAGGTAATCTTGGGGGGAGGAAGGGGGAGGAGAGGAAAGATGGGGTCCTCTCAAGGGAGAGCCCCTCCGTGTAGTTCCAGGTTGGGGGCACTTTGGGGGCAGAGCCTTTGTCCATCTACCCATCCCCACGGTTTGGGGAAAGGAAGATTTATAAACAGTGAGTGTCCACAGCAAATGGGTGGTCTCACTTTGGGGTAGACCTTAATCTGGTACAAAGTAGGAGACCTTTTTCAGTCTGTAAGTATATAAATCTGCTCACTTATATCGGGGAGGTGGAGTGGGCATAATGAAGCAGAATGAGATCTGGCCAAGTAAGCCAAGAATTGTGGTTCCCTCGATGAGGCAAGTGTTGGGGCTGGAGAAGATGAGAATGACCTTATCTGTTTGCCTGGTCTGAGCAGACTGCTTAGCTCTGGGTTAGAGAAGAACAGTAAGCAGGGAATGGGGGTGGGTGGGGAGGAGGGTGGGAGGAATGGGAATGGGGGTGGATAAAACATAAGGGAAGAAAAAAAGCATTTTTAAATAAGGTAAGAGAAGATGAAGTGGAACAAGGAGGGCCTTGGCTGGGTTAAGGGACTGGTTCTGGTTCCAAGAAAAGGTCCCCACTCGGAAATGAAAAGGGATCCTCTTGGGTCAATTCCAGCCTAAATGACTGAGCTTTTTGAAATCAGGCCCTGAATTTTGATAAGTTTTGCCTTCTCCTCATAGTGCCCAGTTCTCAAAACTAGCCCTTTACCCTCTTCTCAGATCTGCCTTTGGACTGGGCTTAATCCTTGCCTTAGAATTGTATGATGTGTAGTGGAAAACACAGAGTTTAGAATCAGATGATCTTGGTTTCAGCTCCAGCTCTTCTCTTTACTGTCTCTGTGACCCTGGACAAGTCATTTACCTTCACTGGGCTTCATTTTGCACGCCTGTCAAATGAGACAGTTGGGCTGCTTCTCTCCAAGGTCCCTTTTCCCCTCAATCTATGTTCTTGTGAGCTGAGAAGAGAGAAGTTACTTTGTTCTGGGAGTAAGAATGGGGATCAGGATGCCTAGAGCTTCCCGGATCCCATTTCTTTTCCCATCACCAGCTGAACCATCTTAGGTTTACATCCCTATTAATACTGTCTTGTGAGGCTTCATCAATGTATGGAGCCATCACTAATTCCCAAGAGAAGGTGGCCAGTTGGCAATGACCTCACAAGTCACTGGCTTCACGTAGGCCGAGTGACTAGAATGCAAACTGTGCTAATGCTAGAGTGTCTGAGCCTCACTGTTTAAGGCCCAGCCTGGCAAACTTGAGAGGGACTGACCATCTTACTGGATTGATGAGAAGGTGGTTAATTTTCCAGCTTTGGCAGCTCGCAAAGACCATCTCCTGAGGCACTGGCATTGGCAATCTGCATCAGTGGAGGGAAAACCCACATTGATGAAAACCTTTCCTTTACTAAATATCATCATCATCATCATCATCATCGTCGTCCCCTAGAGCTCATGGTCCCGTTGGCTGCTCTCAGACAGCAGTCTCAGTCTGCATGCCTAAATGCCTTGTGTTACTCAGATGAGATCATCTCTGTCCAGCTCTGTGCAGACCTGAAATTGCTAAACAAATGCTAGTTATTCTGGCCTACCTGGGTGCTCTGAAACCAAGCTTATTGGTTGGTTTACAATGCCGAGCTCACTCTTAGCGAATCAAGAAGCCTAACCCTGGGTAGGCTTTTTGAAAACTAGCCCATGTTGCTATAGGGTCATTAAGAAACCCGTCTTTTCTTGTTCATCTTCCCTCCACTTTGGCAGTTAATATCCTTGAAAGTCAGTGCATCTGAAACCTAGCCTCCTCAGGCCTATTGTGTAGAATTAATATCCTTGTAGCATTAAAGGGGGTGGGCTAATGTCTGCTGCAGCTAATTGTCTTCCCGTTGCTCAAAGTGAAGCTAATGTCTCTACTTCTCTTCCAGGACTTTGTGGAAATCTGCAAGCGGGAAGGGACTGATCGTGAGGAGAAGGATGTAGACCAGCTGTCAGGCCTGGGGAGCTCCAGGTACTGGGGTAGGGTGAGGGCTTGGAATTATCGCCTGTTAATGGCCTGGTGGTGTGATGCCTGACCTGTCCATGGCAGGCAGTATGGTGTGATGGAGATAGCCCTGATCTTTAAGAGTTTTTGGTTCAGCTCCAAGCTCTGGTCTTAAGAGTTCTCAGTTCAGCTCCAGTGCTCCTAAACTGTGTAAAGCCTGAGCTGGGCTTGACTGGGTCAGGACCAGAGGCTCAGCATGGGAGTGCAGTGGGAAGCATGCTGGGCTTGCAATGAGAAGTCTGTGTTCAGATCTCTTGGCTCTGAAATTAACTAGGTGAGTGACAGTGGGGGAAAGACTCTTCTTTCCGGGCCTCCATTGAAGACCTCTTCTGGTTCTACATCTTGTGCTAAACCTCAAGGCCCTACCAAAAATAAGAGCTGCTGTGACAATGACTAGAAGTTGATGGCCTGTGGCACGTGTGTGTTTGTGTTCCTCAGTGGTTCTGCTGGACGGGTGATGCTCTCCAAAGAAGACAGAGAAGCTGCCAAGCTGGGGCTGTCTGTGTTTACGGTAAAGCTTCCTTCCTTTCCTCCCTCCCTCCATGGCCTCTGAATGCTACACCCTCTCCCCTTCCTGTTGTACCACAAAGCAGAGACTGAAGAAGTTAGAACTGAGTAGGCCGTGTTCTTCCCTTCCTCCATCTTTCTCTCCCAGAAGGAGGTGCTGGATAATTGTGATAAGAGGCACAAAGACAGGACCCAGGACCCAGGACCCAAATCCTTTGCTGCTGTAGGAGCAGGAGCTCTTGGGAATAGGGCAGGGGCAACAGGCTTGGAATCCTGAGACCCAGCTCACCTGGAACCCTAGCTCCACGCCTTTGGGCTCTATTCCCTGAGGTGCTCACTATGTTCACTTAGATGTGCTCCCTCTTGTGGGAGTGGTGGACAGAGCACCCATTATGCACTTTGGTGTTTTATAATACCTGCTCCCCAGGGCTACTGTGAGGCTCTCAGTAGAAGATGCTTTAATGCACTTGACAAATTGGGAAGTGATAAAGGTCAGCCATTAGTCCTAGTAGTAGCAGCAGCGGAGTGATTGTGCTGGTAGTAGTAGGATGGGGGTTGGCAGGATGACAGTTGTGTGTGGGGGCGGGGGGTTGTTTTGTTTTGTTTTTTTGGCAGTTTAGTGTATTGGGAAAAACTACTGGCTTTAGAGTCAAAAGAACCGAGTTTGAATATCTGCTTCATCTCTAGATACCTTTGTGGTTTCACACAAGTCATTTTTCCTGTCTGGGCCTGTTTCCTGTTCTGTACAATGAGGGTATTGGACCAGCTGATTTCTAAGGTCCCTTTCAGTTGAATGCTTCTTGACTCTTGGGTGCTGTTGGTAGGCTATTGCTACCATTCTGTTAGAGTTTGGGGTTTTCAAAGCTTTTCTCACAATTCTATGAGGGAGGCCCAGGTAGTATTCTCCCTCTCTCTCCCCCTCTCTCCCCCTCCCTCCCTCCGTCATTTCCCTCCTTTTCTCTTTATCTCCTCTCTCTTTTCTCTCTCCCTCCTTTTCTTTCTCTTCTCTCTCCCTCTCCCCTCCCCTCTCACCCTCTCTTCTCCCCCCTCACTTTTGACTCTTAATATCAGAGTTCTTTCTGCCACACCATACTTTTTAAGTGTGACTGAGAAATGTCCTCAGGGTGCAGCCGAGGGGGCTCTTGCGCCAGGTCCCCAGCTAGCTGGCCACCTTTGTCAGTCTTGGCTCACTCTTCTTGTTCTTTCCTTTTTCTTCTTTCCATCACTTCTCACACATGACCAGTTGATGTCAGACTGAGTTCAGTCACCCTTGTACCAACATGGTGTTTTGGCTTAAGAGAGGTCTTGTGGCACTAACTTTGGAGTCAGGACCTGGGTTTGAATTCTGGCTCTGCTCCTTATAGCCTGTGTGACTGTGGGTAAGTCACTTAAGTGTTCTAAGCCTCGGTTTCCTCATTTGTGATGGCTTCTAAAACCCCTTCCTGCTCTAAATCTGTGCCCCTCTGATCCTTAGCATCACAAGGTGGAGAGCAGTGCCACAGCGATGCCAGCATCCCCACCCGTGGCCAAGCGGAAAACAGACACGAGGTAAGGAAGGGGTCACAGAAGCCAGGCATGGGGAAGGCCAGCTAGAGGGGTGGCAATGGCTGCTGGGGCTAGGGGACTCAGATAGGTGCTCAAGGAGGAAGCAGTCAGGGAAGCTCATATTGTAGATTTGTGGTCCTGGGCAAGTCTCCTTTCCTCTCTGACCCGAATTCCCTCATTTGTAAAACAGGGATAGTAATCTTTGCCCTGTCTTCCAGTTTCATATCCCTTAGCTTGCTGTAGGGATGGGAGGAGTTTGATTCATTACACTCCCAGGGAAGTTTGTGTTGTCAAAGAGGCCACTTGTAACCACTTCCTTTTTGGCCTGGGGTGGATGACCGGGAGAAAGTGGCGTGGTTCCTTCAGCCATATCCTGACAGTCCACCATTTAGGTTTCCATTTTTTAATGTTCACAAGCAGATTAGTTATAGGGACAGTTCTTCTCCAGCTCTTCCATACACATCATAGAATGAGCTAAAAGGAGCCTTAGGTCGTCAGTCCAACCTCGTCATGCTACAGATGAGAAGCCTGAGGGCGAGAGATCTTAGGTGTCATGTAGGGACAGTCACACAGGCAACAAGGGGCAAAGAAGGGAGTGCATCCTTGGTTCTCTGACTCTAAATCTAGCCTTCTTTTCTACCAGCCACACCATCTTCCTTATTACCACGTGTTTCTCTGCTTATGTTGTGGGCCAGACCCAGCTATAGAGACTGCCCCTCTCTGGCTCCCCAGATCCAGGGGGACTGCGCCTTTGCTTTCAGGCCCCTGACACTGGCAGTGTTCACCTCTGGCTTTGGCGCTGGTCATGTGTGACCTGCCTGTGGGGCCCTGAGTGGGAAAGAGTTTGCCTTGGCAGAGGGGGAGAAAGTCTTAGGTTCTTTCTTCTTCTGGACTAGTGCGGTCCCCGCATCCAAAAGAAAACCATAAGTCATAGTCAATTCATCCTCCTCATTTCCCCAACAGGCCTGAGAGCCACAAGAAAGTCAAGAAAGAGAAGAAGAAGAAGAAAAAGAAGAAACACAAGAAAGAGAAGAAGAAAGAGAAACATTCTAAGAGGCATCCCACGTCATTGTCCCCCTCCCCCTCCCCAGACAGGTAGAGTGCTTCCAGTGTCTGCTGAGTGTTGCTGGGGGGATGAGAAAAGCCAGCCCAGAGTCTGCCCTTCTAGGAGCTCCCAGTTTATTTGGGGTGATAAGTCACAGGTAGAGAGCACTACAATCCCTTGACTGCCCACGAAGAGTTGAAAGGAGCCTTCGAGATCTGATTTTCTGATGACCAGAAATGAGCAGAGCTGGTGCTATAATTCACATTGCCCACTGCCCAGCTCTTTCTTCATTCCTCAGGGATTAAAATAACGTGGTTCAGAAAAGCAGGAGGCCAGTGTGAAGTGGGGGAGCAGGAGATGGGGCCTTAATGGGCAGAGGTTCTTTGCAGAGGCCAAAGGAAGAGGGAATGCCTTCCCAGTGTGGTCACCTTTGTTACAGGAGCGTGTTTATGATATGGCCTTAGCACCACTCACTTGGTCAGTCATCAAGCATTTGTTACATGCTTACTATGTGCCAGACACCGTGCTAAGTGCTGGGGATACAAAAACAAAAACAGCCCCTGCCCTCAAGGAGCTTACATTCTAATGGGCAAAATAACAGGCAAATGACTGTGTAGAAACAAGAGATACAGAATAAATTGTAGGTAGTTTCAGAGGGAAGGCATTCACAGCAAAGGGGGGCAAGAGAGACTTCTTTCAGAAGGAGGGATTTTAGCTGAGATTCGCAGGAAGTCAGGAGACAGAGTTAAGCAGGGAGAGCTTTCCAGGCCCGGGGGCAGTCATTCTAAGTACATGGAATCAGGAGAGAGAGGACCTTGTTCAAGGAACAGCCTTCAGAAGGCCAGTGTCACAGACTGGGAAGGTAAGCCTAGGATGGGGCCAGGTGACGGCTTTCAAAAGCTGAACAGAAGATCTCTATTGGTCTCTGCTGGTCTCTCTTGGTCTCAGTTGAATAGGGAGGTGACATGACCACATGTGGCCAAACACTTGGATGGCTGAGTGCCGGATGGGGAGACACTCGAGAGGCAGGCCCCCGGCCCTCCCGGCCCCGCACACAAGTGGCAGCAGCTTCAGGGGAGAGATGTTAGGAAGGCAGAATTGACACTCTGCTTCCATAGCAGGAACTTCACTTCATATCTAGCACTTAGGAATTTACAAAAAACTTTCTCTTCACAATTACCTGGTGAAATGGTAACATGAAGATTATTTTACTTATTTTACAGACAAGGTCACTGAGACCCAGAGAGGGAAATGATCTGGCCAAAGTCACAGTGAGACATTGTCCAAGGAGTAAAACTCCAAATTAATACGTGCTTATGGAAGTCGATGATACTCAAGTCTCCAGATTCCCTGTTCTCTTTCTACAGTGACCCTAAATTGTATTCTTATCATCTGTGTTTGTCTCCCATAGGCACAGAACCACCCAATACCCTGCCTCACCTTCCCCTTCATCCCGGTCCCACGCACCCAGGAGCAGGCACAATACGGACTCTTTGGACGGTGGTCGCTCCTCCCCCAGCCACAAGAGAAGGAACCGGAGCCCTGAGGCTCAGCTCCGGCACAAGAGGCAGCGGCACGACTCGGATGACTGAGCGAACCTTGACCCTGGAAAGCAGATGGTACACACAGGGACCCCTCCCTCCCCCAGTCCTAGAGTCCTGTGAGCTTGTTCCCCTGGGCTGAAAGGCCACAGCCCTCACACCTGCCTTTGGAGGAGCCTGAGCTCTCCGATGCCTCTGCAGTGACGGGCTTCCTTGTCCATTGAAGGGCAGGTGTGTCTTTCTCTGTTTGAAGGGATGCTACCTCCTATCCTGCCCCGCCCCCCAACTCTGTTCCCAGTAAAGTTTTTTCTGTCTAGGTGCTTGCTTCTCAGGGAGTTTTACGCCCAGCTGGGGTGAAGGGCAGATGTCTGGGTCTTGGCTCCTTTGTCCCAGATCTGTTCCCCTCAGATGACTTCAGCTTTGTTCATAGGAAGGAAAGAAGCACATTCCTTGCTTAGCAAAAAAGACTTGGGGGCAGGAAAGCTGCATTCTGATCCTGACTTTGCCTCCACAAGTCATTTGAGCATATATGTGTCACCTGGCTTCCTAAGATTTCACTTCTCCTTCTATAATGATTCTTTTTACTCCCTATCTTACAGGGTTGTGGGAGTGAAGAAAGTGCCTTATTAATCTTTAAGGGCTGTAGAAAGGTAAATTAAGAAGTAGCTTTCTGACCTGGGACAAGGCAGGTCCCTTCTGTGGCCTCTCTTTTCTTACTTATGCAGATGATGACGTCCTGGGATTCGATATTACACAGTGACCTTGGGCTGTGATTTTACAAACATTTCCTGTTTTAAGGTCTTACAGCTTGTACATCTGTGATTCCTGATTTCCACTGAAATACTGAAGAGGGGGGACTGTTTTAACCATCACTAGACCTGATAAATCCAAGTGAACATTGTGCCTCTTTCAAGAAGGCAGTCATTGCCCAGGCCTCATTTAGGATGCCATGGAGCCTGGCCTTCAGCACTTGCTTATACCATGTTAATAATGGCTTCCATTGCTACTACACTTTCCACACAGCAGCTCTGGGATATTATTATCCCCATTTATCTTTTTTATCCCCGTTTTACAGATGAGGAAACATTCAGAGGAGTAACTTGCCCAGGTCACACAGTACCTGCAGCAGCTCAGATTCAAATACAAGCCTCAAGACTTAAGACACGGCCTCTTCTCAGTGACCTCAGTCTATATTTGGTTCTAGTTCCTCACTGGCCGCAGACCTTCATCCTTCAAGGGTGGATTTGAGCTTTTATAGAGAACAAAACACCAGTGAGTCTGGAAGATTTGGATACCAAATGCAGGGGAGAGGGGGTGCTGCCTGTGCTCACCAACTCTGGTGTGTGAGGAGGAGCCTGTCTTGCCTAGGATTGTTCCTCAGCTTCTGGAAGATCAAGCCAGGTTAGGAGCAGCAGCATTACTGGGGCAGCTTGACATAGGAACAGGGTCATGAGTGGGTGACACTTGAGATTGGGGTGGGTTCTAGAGCACTGCAAGACTCTAGAACCCACAGACTCCCAGGTTGAGGTGGGTCTTTTGTTGGATTTCAAAGGACCTTTGGCATCAGGAACAGTGGTATAAAAGTAGCCTCTGGGAGGCTCTTGTGTCCCTGGGCTGAAAGGCCAAAGCCCTCACACCTGCCTTTGGAGGAGCCTGAGCTCTCCGATGCCTCTGCAGTGACAGGGCTTCCTTGTCCATTGAGGGGCAGATGTGTCTTTCTCTGTTTGAAAGGATGCTACCTCCTACCCTGCCCCGCCCCCCCACTCAGTTCCCAGTAGAACTTTTCTTTGTCTGCGTCCTTGCTTCTCAGGGAGTTTTGTGCCCAGGTGGAGTGAAAAGTAGGCCAAGTGGTACGCCTCAGTAAGACTGTTGGATTTCGAGCAGGAAAGGACCTTGAGAGAGCCTCTAGTCTGAGGTTCTTAACCTTTTTTGACTCATAGACCCCTTTGGCAGTCTGGTGAAGAATAATGTTTAACTTCTAATTATAATCACTAGTAGCTCCTCAGAATAATGGCTTTTTTAAAAAAAAATTCATCATTGAAGGAAATACTCAGTTTCAGGTAGAAGTTAATAAATGAATTTTTTTCTCCCCCAAATTCACAGACCCCCAGAATCTCTGTATGGGCTCCAGGTTAAGAAGTCTTGCTGTGGTCTAGTCCTGTCCTTTTAGAGAGGCCTGAACAGAGGAAGTAATAGCCCACTGAGCCCTTGTGGCCCATGCAGGCACTGAGACCTACGAGGAAGGGTGAGAGAAGAGGGGGAGGAGGATTTGAGGTGTGGGGACCCCTATGGAAGGAGTGGGAAGCACCTGAATGAAGTCACTGGAGGGACACCAGCCAGGATGATCATGGGATGGAGGGTGGAAGGGTCCTGAGAAGGCTTCTGTTCCACCTCTTTATTTTGCAGAGCAGGAAACTGAAGCCCAGAGAGGTTTCCTTATTCAAGGTCACAGAGCCAGGGTTGGAATCCAAAACTTGTGACTCCCAAATCTTGCCTTGATTCTGCTCTCCATGAGTTGGCTCATTAGCTCAGAGGAAAGGGGGGCCTTAGGTATTACTGGTTAACAGTACTTCATTTTGCAGAGAAGGAAACTGAGGCAGAGGGAAGAAGACTTGCTCAGGATCACACAAGTAGTAAATACATCATGGTGTTAGTATCTGAATCCAAACCCTGACTCAAATCCAGTGTTCTTGCACATGCTGATTAAGAAGAATTTGCAAAGTAAATGAACCTCTTCATTTTGTAGATGAGAAAACTCCAAGAAGCCTTCCCTGATTTCTCCCTGCCAGAAATGGTTTCCCTTCTCTGACTCACCAGAGTAGTCTGTCCCTCTTATGTGTGACCTGTGCAGTTATCTGTCCTCTCCCCTACAGATCCACTTTTGTAAACCTCGTCCTTCACACCACTGCCGGGAAGTAGGCAGGGCAAGGACCATCTCCCCTGCTCTGTAGGGGAAGTGAGCTTGGAGACAAGGGATGAGCACCTAGGTGCCTTGTGCACCTCCCCCAGGCTGAGAACCCAGGACCCTCCATGTAGTAGGTGCCACCAGCTGGCTAGTGAAAGACTGTTAACACTGCCCTCCATGAGGGAAGGGACTGTTCCACTGCAGTTTTTGTTAGCTATGTTATCAGTGACGATCTGATTGCTGGCACGTGACTTCCACATCTCTGTATCCACCTAGACTTGTCCTGAGTCATCACCAGTTGTCTGCTAGATGTTGCTGCCTTGTGACCCTGGCAAGGACCTTAGAGCCTTCATCTGTAAAATGAGGAAACCCACTAGGTGGCCCCTAAGGTCTCTTCCAGCTTTACATGATTGTGTCCAGAACAGTTCATCACCCTTTATCTTGCCCTTGCTCCAGACTTCTCTCGAGGACAGTGCCACCCTCCTAGTCACCCAGGGTGTACCTGGAAGAGTCCGTGACTCTTCATGCCCTTGCTTTCAGCCAGTCTCTTGCCAGCTTGGGTTGATTCTACCTCCACAATCTTTCTGACTTCCCTTCACTCTCTTGGCCACTACCCTTGGTTCAATCCCTTGTCACATCTCAGTAACGTACTGAGTGGCCTCCATGTTCCATCTCTCCCCTCTCTGGTCTGTCTTCCACATAGAGGCCTCCTTAGGACAGGTCTGTCTACAGTCTCTTTTGCTCAGAAACCTTCAGTGGCTCCCTCTTACCTGTAGGATAATATCCAAAATGAACTTCATGGCCTGGCATGTGAGGTCCTTCATAACTGGCCTCCAACTTCCCTTTCAAGCATTTCCTTTCTGTGTTCTAACCCAACTGGATAATTGGCCATTTGTTTCCAGAACATTAATGGAGGCTTTCTCCCCGTGCCTTTGTTCTTTCTGCCTCTGTTGTCCACATCTGTCAAGGCCTGGCTCAGCTGTCATCTCAGTGAAGCTGTCATGGGCCTCTTCTCTCTCGATATTGTCTCACTGGTAACAGTTATTGTCTCTATGCAGATGATTCCCACACCTACAGATCCGGGCCTAGTCTCTCCTCAGCTCCCTTCTCAGGTACCAGCTGCCTTTTGGACGTCTCCAACTCAGCATATCTAAAACTACTCATCTTTATTCCAAAACCCACCTTCCAAACTTCCCTATTAATGTAGTGGGCATGATCCTCCAGTTACCTAGATTTGCCCACGCCTCACTTGCTCTCACCCCACAGTCAGCCTTTTGCCAAATCTATCTTCACAACATCTCTCCAATATGATGCTGCCATCACCCTGGTGCAGGCTCTTGTGTCTGAAGTCTTACAGTAGCTGCTGGTGGGTCTGCCCACCCTATGTCTCTCTTCCCCTCTATCCTCCACTTAGCTGTCAAATTGTTTTTTTTGTTTTCTGGTGGGGAGGAGGCAATTGGGGTTAAGTGACTTGCCTAGGGTCACATAGTGAGTATCTCAGGTTGGATTTGAACATTGGTCCTCCTGACTCCAGGGCCAGTGCTGTATGCACGGCACCATGTAGCTGCCCCCAAATTGATCTTTCTCAAGCACAGGTTAAATCATATCGCTCTGCCCAGTAAACCAACACTCACAACTCTGTCCCTTCCTGTCTGTCCAGCCTTCTGACGCTTACTACAATGCACTGTAAGAGCCAGCGATCCTGGATTTCTTGCTCTTCTTTGAACACAAAGCTCCTGTTGTTAGGTCCAATCCCATCTTCTGTAGGAGGCCCTTCCCAGCCTCCCCCTACTACTGGTGTCTTCCATCTAGACTGACCTTCCATTTACATGTATGTTGTCATTTGCATGTTATTTCTTCTGTTAGAATGTGAGCTCCTTGAGGGCAGGGATTATGCTTTGCCTTTCCTTGTATTCCTTCTGCATAGCACACTGTCTAGCACATAGTAAGTGCTTAATAAATATTTGTTGATTGATTAAAATTTGTTCTTCCCCATTAAATTTTCCCGGAGTGCCCGATCTTCCCCTTGCTTCAATCGCTCAGCTTTTGATTATGGTCTTCTCTGTGTATGAAGTGTGTACCTTGAAAGCAGGGACTCCTTTGTGATTTATTGTGTAGTCCCTAGTTTCTACCACCGGCCTTTACACCTGAGGGTTGGACATCTGACCTGGGTCGGGGGCCTGTAGTTACCTTCCTCCCCAGTAGAGGGCACTGGGTGGACAGGCACCCAGGTGTGTCTGGAGGCTGCCAGTTGGCATGGAGGGTAGAGTTCATATACTGCTTTATGCTTGTTAGTTGTGAACCTTGTCCACAGAATGGGGGTGACAACAATAAGAATTACCTCCCAGGGCTGTGAGGTGACATTTAAAGTGCTCTGCAAATATACAGAAGAACTTGCATGCATATTACATAAGAATGCTCCATGCACACAAAGAGATATGCCTATCAAATGATCACTACACACTTGCATTTCCATAGTTCTTCAGGGTTCATAAAGCCATGAGGAGGAGGGTGGGCAAAGTCCACAGAGTCGGTCTTGGAGCTAGGACATGAACAAGTCTCATGACCACACTGCACTGTCTCATATACGTCCTTCCAAAAGGAGTCCTGTTTCAGTTGAGCAGGGAAGGAGATGAGAACTGAGCCACAGAATCCAGGTTATCCAGTTTGGTTAGAATATAGACAGGGAGATGCTTGAAAGGAGAGGTGGAGGGGTGGGAGAATTGGTTCCTTAACTGGAATCTAGAGGCCAAGTTCTTCCTAGGACCTAAGAACCTGAGTGAAGATTCTTGATGTCTAAGGCACTTGGCCTCATCTATAGCGCTGGGGCCAACCCAGGGCTCCTGGGCAGGAAGCTTCTTTGACTGCTGTTGCTTGGGCTTATTGTGTGGAAAGGATCCAGCGGTACAAGTCCCAAGACCTGGGTTTTAGTTCTGGCCAACCATTTACTTCCTGTGTGACTTTGGGCATGACACTTCATCTCCAACACGAAGTAATGGTCTCCAAAGTTCCAGCTCTAAATTCCCCTACTGTTTATGGAAATAGGATGCAGGCATGATTGATCACCAGAATAAATAGGCTGCTCTTAGATCAACTTTAGGACAAAGCCAAGCTTAACCTCTGGCACTGAAGGCAGGCAGGCTTTCACTCAATCAAACAGCATTTAATACCTGCCTGTAGTGTGCTAAGCACTCTGCTTAAACCCTGGGTATATCTGTGAGCACAAAAGAAAGAGGCCATCCCTGTCCTCAAAGGGCTTACATTCTACTTGGAGAATATGACCCATTCCCAGGACTATGTATGAAAAAGAGGTGATGGAGCAGGGCAGCAACAACTGAGGAATCAGGAAAGGCTTCTTGAAGGAGATAGCACTAGCTGAGCCTTGAAGGGGAGCGAGGAATTCCAAGAGCAGGAATGAGAAAGGAGAGCCTAGGAGAGGACAGAAGCAGGAGATGGAGAGCTGTTGACAAGGAACAGCAAGGACAGCTGGGCTGGATCATACGTAGAGGGAGAAGGTACTATTGTGTAATTATTTGGAAAAAAATAGGCTGGAGCAAGACTGTGAAAGGCTTTAAGTGGCAAACAGAGGAATTTGTATTTTATCCTAAGAGACAAAAAGGAACAAAGGAGTGACACGGTCGTGCCAGTGTTTTAAGACTTCATAGCTGTGTGGAAGACAGAAGGAAGGGAAGTAATTGGGAGGGGATGCAGCCCTACACTAGCGTGTATGCCTGAACAGTGGAGAGGACGAGACGGAAAGGAGAAATAATGAGAGGGTCAACAAGGCATGGCAACTAATTGGATTTGCAGAGATGAAGGAGAATGAAAATATGAAGATGAGTAGGTTGTGGACCTCTATGACTGGAAGAATGGTAAGAAATTTAAAGAAATGAGCAAGCTAGGAGGGTTGGTTTAGGGGAAAAGATAATGTAAAGCTGAACTTTACATGCCTATGTGGCATCCATGTGGAGAAGTCTGCCATGAAGGTAGAGAAATGGACTTGAGTTCAAGAAAGATGAGATCTGGATATGTAGGTTTAGGAGTTATGCTTGGCATGGAGATGACAGCTGAATCCATGGGAGCTACGATCACCAAGAGAGGGCAGGAAAGAAATGGCCCAGGACAAAGCCTTGTGGCACATGCACACTGTTGAACCTTCAGAAGAACTGAGGAGGGGCCAAGTAGGTCAGAATTGAACTATGACAGAGCAACATCATGAAAACCTAGAGAGAAGTAGATGAGAAGGGACAGCCAACACTGTCAAAAAGCTGCAGAGGTGAAGAAGGATGAGAAAAGGCCACTGGATCTGACCATAAAGACCACTGGTGAGCTTGGCAGGGAACAGTATTGGAAGTGAAAACCCAATAGCAAAGGACTGAGGAGTGGGAAGTGATGAACATAGCTTTTTCTAGGAGTTTGGCTGTGAAAAGGATAAAATGATAGATAGTTTGAGGGCACAACACGCTCAAATGAAGGTTTTTTTAAAGAGTAGGATTAAGTCATGTTTGTAAGCAGCAGTGAAGGATAAGAGATGGAAAGTCAGGGATCAAAATTATCCAAAAGGCAAGATACTGGAGAAAGGAGGGGACGGGATCAATGAAAGAGGCTGCCTTATCACAAACCTTGAACAAAGGATGAAAGAACGGAGAATGATTTTGAAATGATCTGAAATGTGCAATTGGGGTGAGGAGAGCTTAATATGAATGGCCTAAATTTTTTCAGTGAAGTATGAGACAAAATTCTCTGGTGGGAGCAAAGAGTATGAGAAGTTTGAAACAAGTGTTGTGGGACAGTAAGGAAGAGAAAGGATTGACATGCAGCACTGAGTACCTAGGTGGGACTGGTAACAAGCTTTGGTGAATTCAGCAGCCCAGTAGTGTGACTTCCTCTAGATGTTCTGCAGCACTGAAACAGGAATGGAGGTGGGCTGGGGTTTGGAAAGAGATGAGCAATGACTGGACAAGGGGACAAAGTATGTGAGTGCAGAGGTCACTGGAAAATGAAATTGGACAACTCAAAGGTCAAGATTTTGAAGAGAGGAAAAGCCAGAGCAAGGGTGATGATGGCATGGGAAACAAGGGAGGGGTGCCCATCCAGTGGCTCAGTTGACGAGCAGGCTCACTTGCCTTCTCCGACCTCAAACCATCCTCCAACGAGGCAGGCAGATCACAACCAACAGGAGAGGTTGAGCTAAACTGAAAAGCTTATTATGCCAGACACAATACCCATCAGTGCCACGGGCTATCTATTAGTGATGACTCCCACAGGCCAGCCTGTGGGTCCCCACGGAAGAGGTGGTAGAAGGAACTGGAGATGTTTAAACCTGGAGAAAACAGAATTAAAGGGGACATAATCAACAACTTAAGCAAAGGGCTGCCCTGTAGGGAGCATTATGTAAAGCTCTATAGAGAGCAGCACTAGAACTAATGGGTCAAAGTTTGAAGGAAATAGATTTTGTCTAATGTAGGGAAGAAACTTTGACCAAGAAACCAAGAGAAGCATTCCAGTAGCAGGGTGACTTAGCTGTCAAAAAGGCTGTACGAAAGATTACTGCACTGGAGGTGAGGGAGAAGACACTGAAGACTGTGCTATGCCCAGGCTTGGAGGTGGGAAACTTGGGTCCCTGTCCCAAGTCTGCCACAAATGGGGCCGTACCAGTTATCTGACCACCCTGCTTTAATATCCCAACTGAACAGGTTTTCCTGATCAATAATCTCAACAATATCTTTCCAGTTTTCAGTTGTGTTCGACTCTTTATGACCCTATTTGGAGTTTTCTTGGCAGACATATGGGAGTGGTTTGCCATTTCCTTCTCCAGCTCATTTTGCAGATGAGCAAATGGCGGCAAAGAGGGCTAAGAGATTTGCCCAGGGTCTG